GCAACGGCGACGAAAACAAAATTACGAAGTAGACTGGACATAAACCACACACTTGAGGTGTCATTGTCTCCTATTACCCCGAGATGGGACCGTCTGGTTGCAGAAAATCAAGCTCGGTGCTGTGGTGAGTCGTCATTTTCATGCACTTTGAATTTGCGTTGTATCGTATTTTGAAGACATTAAACATTGCCATTGCGATCGGAGTGTTGCGGCCAGATTAGACGCTCCTTGTGTTGATTGTTATATTTCGAAAAGGCCACCATTCTCATGCAGCTCATCCCATATTATTTTGTTGTATTATTTCCGCCACACCTTAAATGCCGGTCCCTGAAAATATTGTCTGACATAAACCGGTCCGTGGGCCAAAAAAGGTTGGGGGCCCCTGATCTATAGTATCAAAAGCTTTTTTAAAGTCAATGAAACTCCCAAAGGTAGACCCCCTCCAGCCCGCCCTGACAGCACTGGGTAGCTCCTTCAGCCAGAGACTATTACACCCGCGCTGCAAGAAGGAGAGACACCGCCGCTCGTTCCGACCGACTGCTGTCAGGCTGCTGAAGAAACATGAGTGAAAACCAGCAACCATTGTAATATGTAATAGCACAGCCACCTTATCTATATCTATATTTGTATTGCACTTAATTGAGCTGTGTACAGCTCCCTCTGAAACATTTATTTTTGTGCATGCAAACACTTTGTTTTTCTTCTTCTACCCCCCAATTTTACTGCTTGTCGACTGTAAATTTCCCCAGTGTGGGACAAATAAAGGATATCTTATCTTCTTTTTTGTCAATACAAGTACCAGCTTTTTCCAGTTCCATTGCATTGTTGCCATGGAGGTGGATCTTTTTTTCTCTGAAACCATATTGATCGTCCCTTAAAAGAATGTGCTTCTCGATGACGTTTTTTGTGAAAAAATATTTGTTTTAATTTGAAAACTGTGGCAGTAATGATATACAGTATATATATTGTGCCATGTGGGGTGGGAGGAGCTCCTTAGCCTTGGTCGGCAATCTTCCTTCGGGAGTAAACCCAGAGGCCAAATCCGGAGTTGGAGTCCCTAAGGTGGTGCGTTGTGAAACTCTCTCAGCGTCCCGGCAACTCCTGCGACGACGTCGATGCCAAGCTGCTTGGGCCCCGCCCTTCCCTTGGACAACATCAACGGCGTGGAGAGGGGGGATCTAGCGCATGGGCAACGCCAGGTCCTCCATACACACCTGCCCAGGCTTGTGCCCTGGAGAGGACACTCCAGCGTCATTATGTGACGACACAACACGAGGAGTGGCAGATACCAGTGATAAGTCAGTGCTCAATTGGCGTAGAGCTAGACGCTAGGGGTCACTCCTGACAGTGGGAGGGGGCCTCGTACCCCCACTGGGTAGCTACCGCCTGCTTCAAGCCGGGCAGCCCCCGGACAGTAAGGTGCTACCCCGCCACAGTTCACTTTCCTTACTGGGTGCGTAGGGATTAGGACCAGGAATAGTTTGAAAGGTGGACTGTAGAACCGATGCACCAGGAAACAACAAAAGAAACACAACAAGGAGCAAGCCCTTGTTAAAACTTGCAACATGGAATGTCAGGACAATGACAACCGGTCTGACGTCAGACCTAATGGACATCAG